GTCGCCCACGTCCTCAGCGCGCCGGCGGCGGCGCAGTTGGTGGCGGCTATCCTTGCGGAAGAAGGGGAAGACGGGATGGAGGAAATTCAAAGAGCCTGCGCGGTCGCCGCGGAGAAGGTCCTTGTCGAGGAGAATTCGCCAAGAGACTCAATCTACCAGCGGTTAATCGAGGAACGGGAGGCGAGGAAAGGAGGGCAAGGGGTCATCGTTCCTGCAAAGCGGCGGGCTACGAGTGCGGGGGTGGAGGACAAAAAGATAGAAGAGGAGTGGGTATTTGTGTCGCTATTGGCTAAGCTCACCCGACAGGTGGTGGGGAACTGCAGTGACTGGGAGTGGAATCATATCTTTCTAAAAAACTTTTTCCTCCCACACGAAACCTTTGCAAATAGCGAGGATGCTCAGCAAATCAGTATAATGAGAAAGACTGGCACCTTGAATGGTGAAGAATTTTCCGTACCCTTGAATTTCTACCACTCCGAAGCTAAAAAGATTACGAACGATTTTAATTTGTAAGGGTTGGGTACTGTGGTCTTTAACGCTAAATCTTTTTTTTTTCTTGTTGTAAACTTGGGATTATTGTTATTTTCCCCCTCCCACACCGCTAAAAATTAGGTTTATTGGTTTCATTCACAATAACGTTCGATTTAAAACGATCGTGATAAAGCGCATTATGTACCGCTTTCTTGAACATTGCCTTTTGCTCTCTTTATTTCATTATAGTGAAAACTAAAAGTAATAGTGATAGTCATAGGACAGTGAAAGGTATTTTTTATTTATTCCTAATACTCCATAATTAATCAAGATGGAGTATCAAATAGTTTCTAACGTCTCCGATAAAATGACCCTTTTCATCGATAATGACATGACGGTTGGGGAGGTGCGGACCATTATTGATGTCATGCTAGATGTCTCGGCCGACCTTGGTAGGAGCATGTCATACAATGGCAAACAGCTCACTCAGGATGAGCTCACCTGGCTGGAGATGATATCGATGGTGGATTCGAACGCGCAAAACCCCTCCGGGAATGACAGCGTTGGGGGGAGTCTTTCGCGGAAGATCTTCTACCATGTTGGGGGCCGCAGGCCGCAAGAAGGGGCCAATCACGAGGCACTGCGCGCGGCCGTCTCCGGGAATGAGCGGCTCCAGCGGGAGCAGGCGCGGTTGATGGAGCCGATGCTCGACACGATGGCCCAGAACCCCGCCTTCATGGAGTCGATCCTGAACATGAATCCGGCGCTCAAAAAGATGGCCAAAGAGCATCCCGAGGTGGCGAAGCAGATGCGGGACCCGGAGACGATCAAGATGATGATGATGTCCCAGTTCGACCCGGACCGGCGCCGTGAGCTCAACCGCCAACTCGAGCTCCAGCTCGCCCAAATCTCGGACATCCCGGGAGGGCAGCAAGTTTTAGATCGCTATTTGTCGGGGTTTCTGCGCGATACCGAGACGGTTGGTGCACAGAGCGAGGCGGATTTGCACACCGTCAGCGAGGACGTCGCACGGCCGAATCCATTGAAGGAGTCCAACTGCGAGGCCTTGCCGAATCCTTGGAAAGTCACACCGCAGCCGGAGGTCTGGGCGCATCCCGCGCCGATGTCGATGCCCTTTTTACCATCTAACCCCTTTGAGATGGGTGAGATGGGGATGGAATCCCAGGGCTCTACGGCGGGAATCATGAATAACCTTATGGCGTCTCTTGTGCAAGATCCAAACCTGGCGCAGGAGTCGATGAGGATGTCCGCCGCAAATCAAAACACGAATACTAATATTAATTCTAACAATTATATACATTATCATCCTACGGTGGAGTCTGCAATGACAAATAGTCAGGCAAATACCAATGCCAGCGGGAGTTTTGCAGCTTCACCGTTCTTTTCAGAAGAAAAAAAGATAGCATACGAACCTCAACTGCGTGCTTTGAAAGATATGGGGTTTGAGGACGAATGGCTTTGCTTAAAAGCTTTGGAAGCCACTAATGGTGATGTGGAGGAAGCTCTTGCATACATTGCTGAGAGTCAATCGAATTGAATAAGATTAGAAGAAAAAAATGACACAGTACATTAATGGGCATCATTTCGGGTTTCAATGAATTCTTTGCTTAATACCGCTATAAAATTCTGTCCCCTTTCCTCCCTTTTTTTATGCCATGGAATACATGTGTATATTTCTTATTCCTCTAGTTTACTCCTCTGCTTCATAAGAAGTTCTTTATAGGATCAGTTGGCTCAATAGAGCATGCAAACCGAATAATAAATGTGTATCTGCGACGTAGAGCTGTTTTGAATAAAAATATATATATATCACTTCCTTTAAATTCAATTTCCATATGACGCTTCATTTTATTGTTAGCTTTCAAAGCTGTAGAAACGATTTATATTCTCATTTGAATACATTCTTCCGATAGTATCTGTACGTGAGCCACGTATCTCATTTTTTTTATCCCTATTTAAAGGGTTTATATAGAGACTAATTGCGTGTGTTAAATTGTCAACATACAAGAATTGCTTACTTCTGAAATGTTCCTAATTCTACTTGTTATTCAAAAGTTTTTTTTACCTGATAATTAAGACGATTGTACATTCCAATGCTTGTAAGTGATGATGTAGATAATATTATTTTTTTGGTGATGATTGAAAAAATGCATTTTTAAAGGATGATAACACATTGAACACTATATATGTTTCCATGTATCTGTTGGCATGAAAATGGTAATTTTGTGCGGGCGTAATCATTGGACATTATCGGTGATATAATCACCCCCCAAAAACGTTCAAAGTGGCAAATTGATTCCTTCAATGAGATGCAAAAGGATCTTGCTTAGCTCTAAACCCTTTTAATTGATGGGTGCTTAGTGGAATAAATAAAATTACACTATACCTATCAGACTTTTTTTTTAATTTCATGTGGAGATGCGCAGAAATTGCGTATTACGTTCACTTTCATTCAGATGTGAAGGGGCAATCGTATTGTATTTCTCTTTTGCACTTTATGCATGTATTTTTCCTTTTTTGTGTGTGTTCATGGAAGGTAGTTCAGTCGAATTTTTGTTACATTTAAGAATAAAAAGAAAACAAGCGAGCGAGGTGATAAATTTTTATCCATCATTTCCTGATTATATTACTTATTTTTGTGCGAAATTAAAATTTAAACTATTGCGAAGTCTAATGGAACTACTGATTTATAATTCTGTACCGCTTTACCCCTCTAACGTTGATATTTTTATACACATGAATGCAGCTATAAAAGAAAAAGCTCACTCCTGAAGTGGCTTTTATATTCCGTCCTTAACGGTGTAATATCGATGTTGCGTCTTTCGCGTGTGGGGTTCACGGGGAGGGCGATGATCTCGCGCGGGAGCCCCGAGTGGTCGCATCGCCTGGATCTCAAAAAAGGCAAAAAGACGACTTTGGCCCACAAACTCGGCACCAGTAAGCCCAATAACGCGCTCCAATACGCGCAGATGACCTTGCACGACCTTACGGAGTGGGCGCTCGCGTACTCGCCGTGGCCGTTGACCTTCGGGTTGGCCTGTTGTGCAGTGGAGATGATGCATTCGTACGCCTCGCGCTACGATCTCGATCGCTTTGGCATCGTCCCCCGTCCCTCACCTCGGCAGGCGGAGGTGATTATCGTTTCGGGAACGGTGACGAACAAAATGGCCCCAATTCTTCGAAATATCTACGTCCAGATGGTGAACCCCAAGTGGGTTATTTCGATGGGGAGCTGCGCGAATGGGGGGGGGTATTATCACTTCTCCTACGCTGTTCTTCGTGGGTGTGAGCGCGCCATCCCAGTTGATTTTTGGATCCCAGGCTGCCCACCCTCGGCTGAAAGTTTGGTTTTCTGTTTACATAGTCTCCAAAAAAAGATTCGCTGGCATGAGATTCAGAAATATTCTGTCAGATAATTCGATATGTGACTTTCACATTTTATCGCGGTTACTTTTATTATCATTTTGTTTTGCTTTTCCACATCCTTATCCCGAAGCCCGACGGTCTTTCCTTTTATGCGTTGTTTTTTTAGGCTTCGGGGTGGGATAGCTACGGAGGTTGATTTCAAGGGTAATCTAAGATCACGTCTTCTTTTTGTAAGACATTTTCACTCTTTTACTATCCCTTTCCCCTCTTATAGTGTACAATTCTCCGAATATCCATCAAACCTTATCTCTGCCTGAAAGGAATCATATCCTTTTTATCCTATTATGGTGTGCAGAACTTAAAAAATGAATTACCCTAGACGGGAATGATCACAATTTTTTTTGTCATATTCTTTAGCATAGTAATATATGTACTGTGAGAATTTTATACACAGCTCTTTTGTAAGATAAAAACACTTAGTTTTAGAAAAACGCACGGTAACGGTATTCTTGTCTTGGAAGGTGTCGATATAGTAGGATTGCGTAAACGATTACCTTGCTAATGATATATATTACACATATGTGTTTACATTCAATGAACAATAAAAGAATAGCGTGGTGATAAAACTACACGATTTGGTTATGAAATTTATCCTTTAGTATGAACCTTTTCCACTCAGCGCATGCCATTATTCATTATTTTTCCTTGGATTTGATCTTTAACGTATCTATAGGTATCTCTTTTTTTTTTTTCCATAACCAACACACACAAAAAAAAATGTCTAACGATATGATTCACATTGTCCTTTTCAAGTTTGATCTTGAAAAGCTTGCCGCCGAGTTTCCAGGCGATGATTTGCAGAATACTGTGCGGAATCTCGAAAAAGTCGTTCCTGGGCTTTTTAGTATAACATTAACCCCCAGGCCATCACAACAAAATGGAAATGCTTTAAACGACGGTGGATACAACTACATATTGGTTTCAAAGCATCTCGATGCGGATGCCTTAAAGGTATATATTGATCATTCCTACCACAAAGCCTTACTAGTTCGCATAAAGAAGTGCTACCTTGCACCACCTATGTGTGTGAACATCAACATCTCTGCCAAACTTTAACGATATAATGCGGGTTATTTATTTATTGGAAATATTTTACCTATTTTGTTGGTAGTATTTTCCTTATTTTCTCTAGATGTGGAAAGACTTCTTGGCGGTTTCAAAAGTTCATGCTTCCTCTTTAATTAATCGTAGTTCATAAACTTTCTATCGTGGGCTTAATATTTGTCAAGCTCATGATAGGTAGGAAGAACAATGAATTAATATTACTGTTTTTTAGTCACTCTCCTGCGACGTTAACGTTAAATTTAACAAGGGAGTGATCATTAAATGATGATTGTTGTATGTTTAATATTCACTTTATTTATGCAGTCTTCTTACACTTTATAATGATTTTCTGATGGAAATTCAGACCTCACAGCATTAGGAGAAGCGATTCAATCTTTAGCATCCATGCAGAGATTTCCTGTGTCTACCACAAATAGACACTTCTTTCTCAACTATCCATCTTGTCGACACTGCCGCGCGTCGTTTTATGGATGCTTCCCGTCAACAGCTAATCTTCAGTTAAGGTATTATTTTCAGAGGACTCATTGGTTGCCGTCCTCCTCTTCTTCTTCTCCCTCTTGGCATGAAAAGCATAATTTACCTTCTGAAACCTCAGGAAATGCTAATCGCTCCAACCTCCTTTCTGCTGAGGCTTTTTCTCGGCTTACGCCGATGGTTCTTTTGCAAAAGGCCCTACACCAGTACACACTGCTCGACGATACGCAGCTGTCAAAAAGCTCATCAAACCACCTTCTTATTTCACGTGATAAGTTTAATCATTTCTGTAGTATTTCAAACGTTCAAGAACCCGAATCAGCCCTTCAGGCCCTTGACGAAGCGGGTGTAGTAGTTTCATTGGATCAAGGTCGTCTTGTGCATCTTCGTCCGGTGCAATACGTTCAAGAGGTCGAAATCGTGCAATCCCTCCTTTCAAAAAACGAGACGGAAGGATCACACAATACCACAAATTCTTTAAATGAAAACGTAGGGCTAGTGAGCCACCGGTTGCCTGATTGTTTTCTCCTTACGGAAAGTCAGCGGCGGATTGATAAATTAGTGGATGTGGAAGTGGCATTGCGTGTAAAGTTGTATCCTGCGATTGCTAAGGCCGCGCGCTGGCGGCGTTTAATCTGGAGCGCGGCTTTGTTTTACGCAGGATTCCAGCTAGCCGCTGTTGCCCACCTAACCTATGTGGAGTTTGATTGGGATGTAATGGAGCCTGTTTCGTATTGCCTTTCTATTGGAACCGATTTGCTATTTCTAGCTTATTATGTGTGGTATGACAAGCAGTATAGCTATTCGGGATTTGATAAACAGCGCTTGCCTAAAAAGGTCCGTCAGTACGCGCCAAAAGACTTTAACTGGGAAAGGTATGAAAAAGTATGCGCACAGCTGGTGGAGGAACGAAAACTACTTGAAAAACTTCAGAAATGGGCTAAAACTCATTGAAATATTTCTTTTTTTCTTCTTCTGCATATGTATATTCTGATGACTTATTGGCTTAGTCATTGGCTTGACAAATTTTTATGTTTTATGCTATAACGTTTTCTCAAGAAACCCCTTAGTGTGCATCTAAAGACATTTGTACGATTTTTTTTCCTCAACATTGTCATTTAAATCTAGGTTCCAAATCGAGTTTCCAGAAGAATAAACGATAAACGAAAAGAGGATCGCATCTAAATGCAACACACATACTGATTACACGTTTCATTATTTACTTTACAAACCCCTATAGCAATTCCAAAAGCAGGACTCAACATTGAAATATGAGCGAAGAGGAGGGTCGTTCCAATCTTGAGCCAAGATTGGGCACAACAATGCGATCCGTGACACCGATCTCACCTTCCCAGGTCAACGATGTGGTCTCAACTACCGAAGTGAAATCCATACACAGCTCCTCCCCATCAAACCTCAACTCCACGGAGTTTTCGCCGACCTTCCGATACGGCTCAACCGCAGGCCGCGAGGCCCCTTTTCGCTCCCAATCGATGCCCGTTCGCACGAAAGTTTTAGTCTACGTCAAGCGCGCGCCCAAGCAGCTCACGGTCCGCGAGCAGTCCGAGCGGCTCGCCGAGGAGGCCAAGCGGAACTTCTTCCACGGCAGCTTCACCTCCAGCCACGGCTCCGTGTTCACGGTGCCGAACCTGGCCCAGCGCCTGGCGACGGCGCTGCCCTCGCAAGGCGGGTCGCTCCTCCGCAGCGCCTCGCCCCGGCTGCGCGACCCCTCCAC